AGTTTGAACTTTTTTTAATATCTGTATCAAAATTTTGTATGTTTTGAATACACCTACACTTTACTTTTGAATCCTTCAGATCATTGCTCCTAATAGAAAACAAATTATGTGAAGATCTTGATTATAACAGCATAATTAGTGATTTTGCTGACATTAAGACAAGAAAAATCAATTTTATGGAATAAGGACAAAAATGAATACCTGTGTAATAATTAAATTTAATCATCTTAATAGTTTGCTGATTTTGTCATAAAAGCCATAGCTTTACATATACATATATATACATGCCATTAAGAAGTATATTTTTCCAGATAAAGGATAGTTTGTTGGCTTGGATATAACTTTAAAATACTTAGACTGCAGATGTGTGGACTTCCAATTGTGCCCTTGCCCTGGGGCCTGCAAATGCCAGGGGAGGTTCTGGAAATGTTGGGAAGCCTGCGGCTATTAGCAACTATCTTTCCACTATAAGGGGAAAGCCTGCCTGAGAACGGGCCAATTCAGGGAAAAGCAGAGCCAAGAAACAGAGAATGAGACTTTGAGAACTACTGATATTATTAAAGTATCTGGGTCTTGAAGATCTACCCATGAACTTTTAATTCCTTAAAATAATAAATTTCTTCATTTTTGCTCAAGCCACTTTGTTTTCTGTCATTTATATCAAGCGTCATGACTCTTTTGGAATCCTGGTTTTTGGTTCAGGAAAATGTGATACTTGTAAATGCAGAGTTAGCAGTGGGAGGTGATGAGATGGCAATGGGTAAGGAGAATGGGATGGAGCAGAACCTAGTGAGTTTTGTTAAATGAGGCATAAGTAAACTGTGGCCATTGTAGTGGATTGAATTATGCCCCCCAAAACTCACTGAAGCTTGAATTATGTCCCCCAAGTTTTAAGTATTAGAAACTTGGTCCCCACTGTCAGTGTTAAGATGGTGGGAAATCGTATTATGGTAATTGAAAGGTGGAGCCCTGAAGAGGTGATTAGATTGTAGGACCATGCAGTAGTGAATGGATTAAAAATGGTGGTCAGGGGCATGGCTCTGAGGGCTTTAAAAGAAGAGGAGAGTCTGTCTCTCTCTGCTCTTTCAGCTTCTACCATCTTGCAAAGTGAAGGGTCACTGTCGCCACCATCAGATGTGTTCCTTGGACTTTGGATTTCCCAGCCTCAGAAACTGTAAGCAATAAATTTTGTTTTCTCATAAATTACCCAGTTCCAAGTACTTTGTTATAAGCAACAGAAACAGACTAATACAGCAGTAAAAGAAATATTAAGAATGACAATTAGCTTTGTATCTTATGAATAATCATAATAAAAAGTAGAGAATAGAATAATATTATCAGAGGCTGGGAGGAATGGGGATGGGGAAGAGGTAAGGGGTGGACTAATGGAGACAAAACTGCTATCTACCTTAAGTGAATCATTGTGCAAGATATGCATGCACTGAAATAACACTGTACCCCACCAAAAAAAAAAAAGAATGCCACTTGAGGAATGCATATGTGAAAAATCACTTCTTAGCCTTATACCTAAGATCAAGTACCCGAGTGGCCCATAGATAAACTTCAAAATTGTCCCCCAAATTTTCATGAATATGTATATGCACTTTTGGGAGAGAGAGTGCATAACATTTCATAATCCTCAAAAGGGACTGTGAGCTCCCAAATTGGAAGTCCACTGCCATACTAAACACAGAAATGTTTTTGAAAAGGTGATGACATGATTTTTTAAAAAACGTACTTTAGAAAGATTATGAAAGCACTAATTATGGCAGTGTCTTTCAAATTATATGCTACAGCCCACCTGCATCACAATCACATGGGGCTCTTGTTTCAAATTCATGTTCCTGGGCCCCATCCAGACTCAGTGACTGAGAATCTTTGTGGGTAGGGCCCACGACTCTGCCTTTTAAGAAGCTTTGCAGGTGATTCTTGTCAAGACTAAAGTTTGAAACCATACAATTGTTGGATGAAGTAGAAGGAAAGACTGGAGTCCAGAAAACTAGAAGATAATTACAGTAGGCCACAGGAAACAATCTGAGCAAATTAATTACATTTTCGTAATCTGAATGTGATTTTTACACACTACTCATATTGTTAACTAGGCTATACTTACAGATTTCAAGGCAATTTCATTGGAAGTATTTAAGTCTCTCTCTCTCTCTTTTTCCCCCCACTACATATGTAACTACAGATTCTATAGAAAACACAGCTTAGGGCTATGTCAAACTTCTGTAGCTGCAAGCTCCAGACAGAACTGTATGTGCCCTTGGAGGAGTTCTTCATTCTGAGGAACAGTTCAAAGCAAGACAGAGTATTTTGTTCTGCTCACATCTAGAGAAGAAACAACAAAAATTAAATTAAGCAGTTGAAGGTATTTAATTAACATGGAGTCATAGTTCTTTTAAGTTTTGCTCTGATGCTGATGAGATTCAAAAGGAGCAAAAGGATAAATAATGAAAAGTAAGTCTCCCTCGTCCCATTTTCCCCAGTGACAACACATGTTGTCACAATTTGATGCTGGAGTAATTGTGTCCTGTGTGACTTGATGGGTAGTAAACTCTTAGAAGCTTGTGCCTGATTTCCTCTAGACTTCTCCCTGCAGGCCTTTTCCCTTTGTTGAGTTTGCTTTGTCTCTTTCTTAGCTGTGAGTACAACTGAGTCTTGTGAGTTCTTCTAGTACATCACTGAACCTGTGGTGATCTTGGGGACACCCAACACAGGTAGATATGTGTTTTCTTCTGTATTGCAAAATATGGTCTGATTCTATGGGAATCAGAAGGCTCTTTCCTTGTCAGTTGAAGACAATCAGAGTCAGTGAAATCATTCATATGAAATACCTCTTCACTGGCTTTATCAATCAGTCTCAGCCCTACACCACCACCATTTTGTGTCTCATCAGTAAAAAGATGGTTTCCTGGTCATTCATCATGACTACCTGTTCACTATGGAGAGAAGCCGGCTACTGCTAAGTGGCCTTGAATGTCATTACAAATTCTTAAACATGATCCAGTCTGGACTAGATGCCCAGCTATTATCAAGGGATTCATTATCTTTTGGGGAAATTTCCATTTCCTTTTTCCTGTTTTAGATCTCCTGTTTGCTGTATCCTTTTTTTTCCTCTTTCATTGTTTATTTCTTGTGTTGATGAAACACATTCTCTAGCAGCTCCTTGAGTAAGATAGGTAAATATTTTGAAATTTTGTATGTTTGAAAATATCTTTATTCTACTTTACCACTTGATTGACAATGTGGCATAATTTTTAGTAGAAATCTATTTTAAAATTTCAAACACATTATTTCATTATCTTTGAGCTTCGAATGTTGCTGTTGAGAAATCTGATGATATTCTAACTCTTGATCCTTTGTGACTTTTTTCTCTAAAGCTTTTTGAATCTATTCTTTGCCATTTCATTCTGAAAACTCAGATCCTTAGACCTGGATCCTTGAGCATTATTTAATTACTTCTTCCCTTTTATACTACTCTTTCAATTTTCTTGTCTTTTTGCTGTACATTCCTAAATGTTATCTTCTGTTGATGATTTATTTTGCTATCCCCCCTCCCCCCTTTTAAATTGCAGCCTGTTATGGCTTTAAGTATTCTTGCAGAGTCTTTCCTCCTTCCTTTTTCTGTTGTTCAGGCCTCTTCTATGTTAGTAAATTTTCTTGGTCGCTATCCATGATTAAAAGTGAAAAATAAAAAGAGAGGAAGCTCTGAGTGGATGGCCTGTGCTTTGGACTTTCAATTTCACTATAGGGCGATCTGGGTGTATGATTTGTCCAGAAAAAGCCTTTTGTCAATATCTTTGGGTCAGCCTCTTGGGTTAATCAGATTCTGGTCAGCCTAGTGAGGGATGTGGGTGCAGGTTTCAGTTTTCAGGAGACACAAAGTCACTTTTTTCGCCTGTTTTAGGTATAGGACCCTAACCCTCACTAGTGAATTTGCCCCTTCCAGAGAATGAAACCTCTCAATCTCAGCCTGGGTGAGAGAGGCGCAGCTTCCCACAGAGGCGGCTGGGGAAAGGATCTACACATCCAACTGCTTCTCAAGCAGCCGTCACCTAATCCCCGTTAGTTTAGATTTACCTTTCATGCTAATGCTTTCCAGCTTCCAACATTTCATCCCTGTGGTTTTAGGTTTTTAGTAGAGGTTAAGCATGGGAGGAATAGAAATTAGATGCTTGCATTCAAACTGCCATCTTAACTCAGAACGGACACCAAAACCGTGAAACTCCTGGTCACTCCAACCGCATTGCTCACTCACCCCTCCAAAGACACCCTACTTCTCCATCTGGGGGCTCCCTCCCCCTTCATACGCCACAAGAAATACACAAACCACCACGACAGAGCCAAAGAGAGACGCCGAGTGTTGGGGGTGCCGTAAGGGGTACAGACGATATCCGCCGGCGTCCACGACCGCCTGCTCGGCGCCGCAGGCACTGGCCGGCCCCAGGGAGGCGTTCCCGGCGGCCTTTCACCTTCGCACGAGCCCGAGGCGCCGCCGCTGTGACCGCCCGGCCCCTCCCACGCCAGCCGCGGAGCGCGGCTCCGCCCTTTGCTGCAG